GCAGAGTTGAAACTTACTTTTTCATTAGAAGAAACCACGACTTGTTTTTTTTTGGCTCAGGTGAGTCTCACTTGCGTTTATCTCAACAGAAGTCACAACCATCACTTATTTCACAATTGAATATCATAATTTTGTATTTAAACTGAAATGAACTCACATCCTTTGGATGGGTTTGATTGGTTGTCAAATAATTTTTTGTCATGGAGCTACTTCGATGTAAAATTTAGAGTAAGCATATCTCCACGAGTTACCCCATTCACAAAGCCCTCCGAAAATTCATCCAGAACACTGGCATCAGATGCAGTTCGGTACCCTCCCTAAACATATAAAGTAGGCTTGTCAACCAATGGCATAGGAAAATATCACATGGATATATAGGCGACCTAGAAGCCTATGGAAAATTTCAAGTATTCGCAACTCTAACCCCAGTTCAAATAAAAACATTGCTTTTGCATATAGACAGTTTGTATCATGTGTGTGTATATATTGCCGTATAATAATCATATTCAATCTATAGTATAATTTTACTATCAATTTTGATTCGTATCATGTAGTTGCATGTTGAGTCTCCAAGGAAACAATCTTCGCTTAGGGTGGAGGTGAGTGCTGCAACTTGACTATATATATTATGATGGGCCTCTCTTGGGTATTATTGAAAACGCCCAGCAATTCAGTTCATAAAAGTGATGGTTGTTAATCAAATTATAGAAGTGTTAGTACTGACCTTTATGCTTGAACCGGACTCACTTGGAGATGTAGTCATACCAAACATTTAGTTCAGCACCAATATTTTCAGAGGATAGGCCCGTCGTAGACCTGTGAGTAATAATACAGATTCATGTGATTTCAGAAGTCAAACGATTTTTTTTCAAATACAAGTAAATTTGGAATATATTTCAAAAAATAAAAAGAGTAAATCTGGAAAGGTGCCAGATAGCAAGTGTAGGGAGACATAAAATCCAGCGGGACATGCTGAAAAGTGTTCCAGATTTTATATTCTGGTGTAAATGCTCACATACCTATAGTAATTTTCATTTTCCGAAAGAAATTTTCCATCTCAGGTCGAGATGTCTAAAATAGGTTTTTGTATTTATTCAAGTTTAAACACTTGGAATAAATGTGTTCATTCAAAAACTGAAAGCAAATATTCAACAAATGTAGAAGTATAAGCACCTACAAGAAAGTAAATATGAAAGTTCTGCTATGTCTTTAGTCTATAGTTTAATGACAAAAATGTTATTATCTTGTTAAATAATCAACAGAAACTAGTAGGGCTTTTTGCTCAAATTAATGGTGCTGTGTTAGCCTTGGAAAGAGAGAACACATAATTTGACTGATTGATATAATTGATTTCAGAGGGAAAAAATGTTATCGGAAAAGCATTCTGCACTTTTCAAGTAACCAAACTGAAGATGGATTTGTTTACCTGTCAAATTTATCCTCATCACATGAATTTCCTGATGAAGAAAGCCATTCCAGATTGAAATTAGTGCAATTACATTCATTGCCATTTTCATCATAACATACTTGGTCCTCCTCTTCTCCGAAAAGTTGCCTGCAAGACATTCTTGGAGTAAAATCATTTTAACGATGGTCTGTCATCATAGTTCCTAGGTACAGACACCAATAAATTTCAACATTTTATATGTTGGCACCTTTAGATGCAACATTCATATAAATATCCGCAAGAACTATAGTCGCAGAAGAAAATTTAAGTCAAGAGCTTCTCTTTCATTATATCAACAGACAAAACAGTAAGATACTACAACTGGAGCAACAACTACATATATACACGCACCTGGAATAAGAAATTTCAGACGTCAGGATCGCTGGAGTGGACTCAGAAAGACCATGCAAAGCTACTCTATTTTCAGACAAAGGCAGATGGTGTCCAACATTTGAATCACCCAAGGGAGAGTCCGTTTCAGTGACAATGTTGCCATCTGACAGTGATCTTTAAAAGATGGCCTACAGATATTTGAAGATGATCTTATTAACTGCTTTTGCAAGAAAGGTTAAGTTAGGATACTAAACGGAGGCATTAAAACAGCAAGTCAAAAATATATTTTACCTATCTATAACAAACAGATGAAAGAATATTGGTATCACTAAAAATCTATACCGGTTAAAGAAAATGCAGTTTTCAAAACAATCATTGTGGTACAACCATAAAACCTAATAGGTTTATAAAACACAATATCGTACATTAAACCATCAACATATTGCAAAATCTCTGCAGATTACGCCTGGAACTAGAATTATTTGGCAGCATATAGTCTAAAAAAAATCCTTTAAAATGGAAAATTGGTAAACGAGGTATTTGCAATTCAGAGTAGATTTACAAATACAAGATAGTATATAAAAATATTCAACTATAGCTGAAAACATGCATATATATCTACAACTAGAATTATTGGCAGCATGTACTTGAAAGAAATCTTTGGAATCTGAAATTTGGTATAACTAGCATTTGCAATTCAGATATTAGATTTACAGACACAGCTTTCAGCATAGAACATTAACACATTGTAAGACATCCTCATATTATATCTAGAACTAAAATTATTTGGTGGCATATGGTCTAAAAGAAATACTTGGCACTGGAATTTTGGTATTAAAGGTATTTGTAATTCAGAAACTCAATATCCCTAGCATTCTCATTACAAAGATTAGGATCATGCCTTCCTACACAGTAGTGTTGGTCTGAATCCAACTCCCAGTGCACTGGTTTACCCCGTTGTTGCTGAAAGTGACCCAAGAACCTCCATGGGCTAATGGTTATCCATCACCATTATTAAGCAGTATAAGAGTATTTGATTGCATGGGGTTGTGTAGAGGGGGGGACCCCCATCGTGCTGGACCTCCTATGCTTACCAAACACTACCTATGTACCAAATGTGGAGAACTACAAAATGAAGAATGAGGGTCGCTTTTATCTTACAAATTGATGGCACTTTGCTTTTCTGCATCCATGTATGCATTGTTATAGTAAAGTTGCAAAGTTCTAAAGAACTCTTGGGATTGAGTTGTTTCTTTCCATTGGCCTCTCCTTTGGCAAAATATCTGTTTAACATGAAAAATGAAGATTAAGAAATCATACTCAGGGCCTTACACCAAAAGGTTTCGGTACAAGCACTTGGACACCCAACTAGAAAGCACTATTGTCATGGTACTGATCCAGCCACTCCAAATTATAAACACAGGTTCCAAAGTCTACTCTGCCATCTTAAAACCCTAAAGGTAATTTCTTAACCATGTATTGGATATTTACTCTATATGAAAATCATATTGTGTTTATCATCATCAATTTATTTTGGAATGATAATAAAAGCTCCTTAAATCTGTTAGAAGGATACCTTGTTGTGAGCTGCAGATCCACCGTACTGTAAAGCGTGTCACCCATTGTTTCATAAACTACCATTAAATCCTCAGCCAAAGGACTATTTTGATCAATAGTTCGGGATTCAGTCAAGCCAATAGCATGAAGCTGGCGTCCAAGAGCAACCAATCCATAGGCATATTGAGCAACATTAGTGCGATCGAGACAGTCAATGCAGTTGGTTCTGAGTACTCCAGTTTGAAACATGGGATGTTTTACAGTCTCACTACATTTCTCTTTGTCATTAGCAACATCTGTTTCAAGCTTCTCAATATCATCAGTTTTGTCGGAAGAAGACTTAGCCTGGCACTCATCATTTTGCCTGTAGAGTAGCATAAATAGTTAACATGAATGATCGGAAACAAATAATTAAAAAAAGAATCTTGATAGGTTTGTAAATGCAAAATATAGTTTAGCTTAGATCACCCCCCCCCCAAAAAATAAAATAAATATATATCATGAAAATATGAACAAATCATTTAATGGAACTTACACTATGCAAGACAGTCAACAACCCATCTTGTCTACAATTTGGTGTTACTTGACAGAAAATATGTCCGTTAAGTTTAATGCATAATCAGCCACTCTGCCTAGAAGTGCCAATACATTTGTAGCTCTGCATAAAAAGGTCAACCTATATTAAGTGAACAAACCTTGAAAATATTAGTAAGAAAGAATTTTTCTTAAGAAATGGGAATATCGGGCATTGAACTACTTTCTGGAGTGTCTGTTTAGGTCCCAGTGAAGGAACCTCAGACGGTTCACTTTGGGTAAGCTTTTATTGATAAGTCTGATGGCTGTCGCAAACTCCACACGGAGAACAGTTTCGCGAGGTTTCTTCTCACTCCACTGTTAATCACAAGAGTATAAAGCAGAATGAATCAGGAAACCATTGCAGATAGAGGAACGTAAAAAAGTTTATGGAAACTGGAAAATGATCAGTGCAAAGCTACCTTTATCAAATTCAAGATGATTATTGGATTTCCGTATCTCATTACAAGATTTTCAAAATGTAGTCTCGTGGCCTCATAATTAGGATCCTTCTTTGATACTGCAAGCAAAAGGCAAAAGTAGAAAAATCTGCAATAGTTACGATGTAGAAATGCATATTTATTTCTCTGTGTGCTCTTATTTAACAAGAAAGAACTCATACATATAATGTCAGGTTTCAAGTTCAAGCTTGAAGTTTCCTGAGACCAGAAAAGTGGGATAGAGCCTCTATTCTGGACAACATAACTTATTTGTGAAGGGCACCCTTAATGAATATTAGAGTATCTAGAATACACGATTGTATTCTAGAATATGCAATGTATGCATTTTCTCCTAATATGAGCATTGTGTGTATGAGTGAGCTGTTAAAGTTTGTTATGAATGTTGGAGTCTGTTTTGAATCTGTTATAGAAATAGAGTAAACTTGAAGGCACAACTATTATATAAGCTGGTGTAATGCAGAGTACTAGTCGACTATCAATAAAAAGCTTCATTCGGTCATCTCCTCCATGGCAGCATTCTCACATGGTATCATTCGCCAAACGTCCTGATGTCATTTTTTTTCTTCCGCTGTTTCCATTCTTCATTCTGTCATCGTTTACTGAACGAGATCAGAGTCTCGCTCATTGCTATGCCTTCCGTTATGTTAAGTCATCTACGCCTAGTACTTCCTCTAATGTACCGTTATGAGGTTCTTCTACATTCTTGCTTGGTCTGGTTTCTGTTCGTTATAGCTAGCAATATTGGAGTCGTGGAGATGTTTTTTCGGTATAATATTTTGGCTCTCGTTGGCGGTGCGCCGACTAGAGTTATGATCTGGGATGACCACCAGAATCGATGCATCGGGGAGCTTTCGTTTCGTTCTGAAGTGAGATCAGTTCGACTCCGGAGAAATCGAATCGTAATCGTTTTGGAACAAAAGATATTCGTCTATAATTTTGCTGATTTGAAGGTTTTGCACCAGATTGAGATTATCGCGAAACCAAAGGGACTCTGCGCTGCCTCTCAAGGGTCCGGGTCCTTGGTTTTGGTTTGTCCTGGATTACAGAAGGGACAAGTTCGAGTTGAGCATTTGCTACTCGTAAGTTGTTTGACAAAATGTCTGAACGAGTTTTTATGTGTGCCAATAGATTTGTTTCAGGAGTTAATTTATGCAAATATGTTTGAACTGAATTCTGCGACTCTTGTTAGTGTTCTTTCTGCCTGTGCACACTTAAAGGATCTCCAGGTTGGAAAAGTGATCCACGGATATATTCTTCAGCATTCTTGCTTATATGCAATTACACCCGTGTCAAATGCCCTTGTTAGTTTTTATGCAAAATGCAATGACATAGGAGCCGCATATCAGACATTTCTGATGATTCCTTGGAGAGACTTGGTTTCAAGGAATTCTATTCTTGATGCATTTGCATAGTGTGTATATGATGCTCAGTTTCAAGGATATTTAAATTGCATGTTGGGGGAAGGATTTAGGTCAGACTTCATCACTGTCTCTCAGCTATCATACAATTTGTGTCCGTGTTTCTAGTCGAACGGAAGGAAGCATCTGCACTTCCGATTTAAATCGAACGGAATGAAGCATCGACACTTCCGATTCAAATCGAACGGAAAGAAGCATCGCACTTCCGGTTCAAGTCGAACGGAAAGAAGCATCGCACTTCCGATTCAACTAGAACGAATGGTTTACTAAATCATTGTCCAAATCTTCATTTGCGCAATTTCAACCCAAAGTGTAGGTTTTCTCATTTGTTCAAGGAGAAGGAAAAGAGTAGGGAGAATATTAGAGTATCTAGAATACACTATTGTATTCTAGAATATGCAATGTATGCATTTTCTCCTAATATGAGCATTGTGTGTGTGAGTGAGCTGTTAAAGTTTGTTATGAATGTTGGAGTCTGTTTTGAATCTGTTATAGAGGTAGAGTAAACTTGAAGGCACAGCTATTATATAAGCTGGTGTAATGCAGAGTATTAGTCGACTATCAATAAAAAGCTTCATTCGGTCATCTCCTCCATGGCAGCATTCTCACAATGAACATCTTCAAACACAATTTGTTCTGTCTCAACATCATTTGCCACTCTACCTTTCTCATTCACTCCACGTTTCAGGTATCTGTGCAATAGATGATAAATAAGAAACACAAACCAAAGTGAAAACAGTTTATTTATTATCTCACAGGAGCAACACAAACCAAAGTGAAACCACAAAGACAAACGAAACCAACACGATGCTAATTTTCCTGACGTACTGTAATCCAAATGAAATGGTTAAGATGTCTTCTAATAAATCCATCAGGCATTTCAATCATTAGCTGTAAAGCATCTAACCTTGTCCCAGCATAATGTCGTGAACGTCTTGCAATAAGAGTCAAGAAAAAATTCTTGCCGGAGACAGAAGGTTTCATCTGGATATCAGAGTAGGGAAACAACAAACATTAGATCTAAACCTTAACATCAAATGGAAAAAACTTCTAGTAAACTCGTGGAGCAAAAGTTTGAGACAAAACAAACCTAGTTCATCTTTAGTTACCAAATTGACGGTAGTTAAAGTTTTAAGTGAAAACCTGATAAATAATCAATTATGCTCCTTAAGAATATTGACAAAGGAACTCCATCAACCAAAGAAGCTGTAAATTTGATAGTTGTTCCCAATACGAGGATTAAAATAAATAAATAGGTTCTAGATTTCTCTAAAGCAACATCTTTTAAGCGAAAAGCAGACATAGAAATTGAAAGAAAATAATATAATTACAAGAACTTAACAACCTTCCAGAAAATCTTACTTCCATTATCACTTATCACAAAAAATAAATGAACAGAAAAAGTCTAAAGTGTATCATACTTACTTGAAGAAGCCATATACCAATGCGACAGTCCATAGAGTGTTCTTGAGAGTATTGAGAATCCCTCGAGTTAAGAACTCATTCCAAACAAACATCGATTCATAGTTTACTATTCCTGTTTCATTCCTACATAAATTTCTTTGAAGACTATGCATGACATTGTAGGTGTAGCTGAAAAAGAAGTCCTTTGTGAGATCCACTGTCGAAAGGAGTTTCTTGTACCTACGACAACAGGGACAAAGGAAAAAGAAAAAAGGTTGGCCATGTTAATGCATTTAATATTTGATAAATTGAGGAATGAATAGATATAAAAACGACGACTTAAAAATTAAAAATGAAATAAAAGCAAGAGGTAGCAATTTCCCCCAGAAATCCTGATGATACCTTGTCTTATTCAACATGTTATACTAACATTAGAAGGCAATGAAGTTTTCCCCTGTAGATATGCAGAAAATGAAATTGCAATAGTCTCTACAAATGATATTAACTAAGACGATGGAACATTAAACAGGTGAAAGCTGACTTAACTGTTCCAACATGAAATGGAAAAAATGGAAGATACTTAACCAAAAAAAGTGCTTCAGTTGCACAGGGACATGTCAATGATATAACATTAAGGGTGTATCAACAAAAATGGTATAGAGATTACCTTCACACCATGGAACCCTTCTTCTTTTAAAACAGAACTCCAGAACTCAAATTATCGTCCCGGAAAACACAATTAATTGAAAATGTAAATAACCACCACATAAAACCATCCCATCTAAATACAAATGGGAAATGAATACTTTCAGTGATAATCTCAGGTCTCCTTCTAAGTACCAAGGACATATTACATTTACATGCAGAATTGAAAAAAAGACCCTTTTTTCATTCTTAGAATAAGCCATATTGGATTGGATAGGAGCTTTTGGAATTGGAATCGTCTCGCTCTTGGAAATGGCATAGATAGATGGCCACAAATTACACCAATCTTCTTTCTTTTGGTGATCAGCATCATGGAATAAGATCCCTAAAAGTTCACAAACCCTGGATTAAAAAGGGAGAAATTGATTAGCTTATACCAATAATGAGAGAGAGGGAAGATGTAGATCCTGATAGTTACTGCATACCAACGATTCCATAACAAACTGTCACAGTAAAATTGTAAATTAAACATCAACCGTCAATAAAATTCTCTCTACATACAGATATATACACACAGGAACGTTAAATAAATTAAATGATCTAGTCCGAACGAAGAGAATAATTAACGTTGATTAGATAGTTAATAGAAGATTATTAAATATTGATTAGATAATAAATAATCTCAAAGTGTGAAACTATACGAGGAGAGTAATTAATTGATTTTCTTTCAATATCCGACATATGGGTAGTTCTGATGTACGATATTCTTAATATACGGTTAAGAAAAGGCACTACCGGAAATGTTAATATTTTTTTTAATATTTCCGGTAAAGCGCTATCTAAAACTTTATTTTTTTAACGGAAATGTTAATTTCATTAACTAATTTTTGGTAGAATCCAATATTAACATTTTCGGTAGAAAAATAATGTTTTAGGTAGCGCTTTAACATTTTCAGTAGCGCCTAATATTAATATTTTCGGTAGAAAAAATAATGTTTTAAGTAGCGTTTTACCGAAAATGTTTAAAAATTAACATTTTCAATAAGATTTTTCTTTAACCATGTATTAAGGCTGCCGCACCTGATACATCTCAACATATTGTTGGTTGCATTGACAATGTCATTTCTTGACCACTAAATTAACATATAAATATTTCAGATTAAATATTTCTTGTATAAGACGGTAAATACCATATAATTAATTATTTAATATACATACCATGTCTATACAATCCAACAAATTATTTTCTTATGTATGCTGTGACTATCTAATCAATCAAATTGATGAAAATAATTGAATTAAGGATTTCAGTATTATTTAATATAGCTAAACTATAAATTAATTCTTGTTATAAATATTTATTTATCTGACTGTATATCTTTATCTATAAAATCAGATTATGATTTGCATTATCATTAGATTTCTAATATTCATTAGTATTAGAGTTATATATTACATCTACTACTTATAGCTATAAATATATAAATTAGAAGAAAAAAAATATTATACACAACTCATATTGAGATAATAATAAAATTCTCTCTTATTAAAGCTTCCACCCATTTCTTATAAAATAGATATCATATATGAAGGAAAAAAAAAGATGATGTAAGATGCCATTGTCCTCTTTCTTTAGCCGAATTTTTATGAAATTTGAACATTCCTAGGTCTGAAAATGTAACACGTTACTCACGTATTCAACTAAGTGCATTACATGTGCTTAATTCAATGAGTAGGGTTATTAAATTAGCAAAAGTGAAGAGCCGAAATAAATAGATACGGATGATATCTTGGTTTGAAAATGAAGCCAACCAAAGTTGACATCAAGGGATGAAATAAGATTAGACCCCTTTTGTCCACTGCTTTCGAGACCATGCAAGCATATATATCTTCCCTTTATTTTCCATTACCACTCCATTTTTAGCCCTACAACAAAACTATACAGGCCAATGCCATCACCGGCACTATTTACATGAAGATTTTACGTAAAAAATGTGGTTAAAGCTTATCTTGTGTCATTTTGAAGCAAAGAGAAAGGACCACAAATTTGACAGCCAAAAAGGGAAGAAAAAACAAAGCTTTAGTTGGATGATGATAAGTCATCAATGTAGAAAATCTACCTTTACTTTTCAGCACTCTCTTTTACTTATTATTCATTTCGCGTGTGAACCACCGATTTCACATTCTTCAAATCGCTTTATTTAAATTTCTTTGTTTTTACACAATGATCATCGTTTGTTCATTTTTCAAATCGTTTAATCAAACTGAAGAGAAAAATAATTTATTTTTGTTTGATGTAAACCCCCAAACAGTTTAACTGATACACCTACCTAATTACTGCTAATTTTACACAAACAGACCATTGGCAATGGCTCGATTAGTATCGAAACGTGTTGTTTCGTACACGGGCAACTCATCACGATACCTTTCGATACCGATAGCTGACAGATTATTCAATTCAAAGAGATCGGAACTTGCATCACTAGCTGTGTCCTCGTCGTTGTCATCTATGTCGTCGGTAGATAGTGCATTGACGTTGCTGATATCTCCCATATCATACTCTTCCTTCTTCTTATGGTAACTATTTAAAAGCTCCTTTGCAGCTTCTACAACTCGGCCATTTTCTTCCCTGAACCGGAACTCAAGCTCTTTGCTTGTCGGTTTTGATCTGACTAACGTTTGATTTTGATGATCATTTTCATGGCGGATGTTCTCTTCGTCGTGAATAACTTCGTTAATTGGGCAAAACCTGACCGACCTTTTGGTCCCGTTCCCTCTTGAAGATGGAGTCTTGCTCAGACAAGATCTTGAAAACGAGGAAGCCGAAGAACACGTCGGTGTTGCCTGATCGGATTTTGACGATGAAATCTTTGTCTTCTTCGTATTCCCAGCGGTGAAAAGCGAGTTGAGGAAGGTTGCAAATTTACCACCTGGAGAGATGGGCTGCTTGACCTTTTTGAGGTCATTGTAAATCTTCGAGGCCTTGGATTTTGTTCTCACGAAACCACCTTCATGCTTCTGCTTTTGCTGTGTGGCGCCGTGGAAACTGTTTTCGACTTCAGGTAGCCGAGCTGAGACGCCGGTCCGAATAGGTTTAGGTCTATGAGTGATGTAATGGCTTGATGCTGAAGACGACGACCTTGATTTTGCACCGTAAAAGGAATCTGACTCTGAGGATGAAAACCCACCACCGGAGCTAGAATCAGAAGAGCTGGAACTGGAATTTAACAACACAGGATCAAAGTTGTTTCGGAAATTTCTTTGAGAATCCGCCCCGGGTTTTCTTCTAATGAAAACATTATTATCATCAGCCTTCTTTTCCATCCATTTCTCGATCATCCAAGCACGTTGAAGGCTCGTCATTTCTTCTTCCTTCAACGAATGGTTGTTGCCGTGCTTCTTCGCCATGGCAGCCTCTCTGATGAAAATCAGCTCTTCTTTTGCTTTACCACCGTTGGGTTCATCAATCGAACGATAGATAGAATCGAGAAGAGTTGAAGAGAAAGATGAGCTTTCTCTCCTGTACCAATGATGTTCTGGCAATTTAACCCACATATCCATGTGCCTTTATAGAGTGAAAATTTAGAGAAAAGAGAAACAAGAGAATAGATCAGTAGGATTTGAATGATATTGTCTGCTTCAAGGATGTCAAAAGCTGGAAGGAAGGTGAAAGAGAAAGAGAAAGAGATTATTAATGGACATGATTAATCATGTGAAAGAAACAAGGAGAGATTTTGAAGACAAAAACTGGCTCGCCCTCTCTCACTTTCTCTCCTTTTTTTTTATGGCTCAAAGCAGACATTTTCATCGATGGGCTGTTGTTGACTGCCACAGAGAGACAGAGGAAAGAGAGAGTAATGAAAGCCAAAATCCACGCCTCTCAAGCCGACAGAGTAGTAACCGAGACGACGATAATTTGATAGAGAGAATATTTACAAGCAATTTATAAAGGCCTTACGCACACTTGGGAAAGTGGGTCCTACCTGGAACCATTGCCTGCCAGGTGGAATTATGATGTGGCAAATTTATCACACCCACCTTATCTGTCTGTATAGTTTGCAAAAACAGGCCTCTTTATGTAGCAATAGTTGAGTGACAAATAGAATGTAGTTTAAGACAAATTTTACTATTCAACTTTTTTTTTAAAAATGATACGGTAATTGGTAAGCCCATTTATGTAGCAAATCAGAAATATGATTGTATATGATAAACAGTCATTAATGAACATAAAATCACAATTAATTAGTTTACCCTGATTTACTAACATGATCACCATCTTTTAATGACCCTTAAGCAGTGAACAAGGATCATAATCATGGTGTTTAACAGTAATTGGCCAAAACACTGTCCATTGCATTACAAATCATACAAAATTGGTTTGCTTTTCTTTTATGTTATTAGTAAATTTTATCTTATAATAAAAATGTTTATAAAATTGTCACCATTTGTACTATACGTTGTGGGCACCCTTGTCCTCTTTACGCAATAAATTTGGGACCGAGATCAATTCCTAACATATACCCCAACAGATTCTACCCTAACCTCTTGAACGAACGTAATACATATGCTAATTTCATATATCGTTACGGTGCGCGTACCTACGTACACGTGATATATTGGTGTGAAAACATATTCATAGGTAGATAATAACTAGTAGGTGCATGCATGGCTAGTTGCAAATATATAAGGATGAACGCCTAAATTTATATCAGGAGATGAGATCTATGAGCATTGGCGGAGCTATCTTTATAAATTTAACATAATGCTTTTTTGAAAGAAAATTAATATATTTTTAAAAGAATATTGATACCTTTGAACATAAATCGACACTCATTATTCATTTTCATTTACTTAAAAAAAATCTTTATATAATTTCTAAATTTGACTCCTCAAATTTTTTTTTCTTTAAATTTGATACCACAAAATTATTATGCTAGCTAGCTCCGTCACTGTCCATGAAAATTTTGAAAGGTAAACTAAATAAAAAAAAAGAGAGAGGAAAGGTTGAAAAAAAAAAAAGCAACCGTGCGTGAGCAAGCGTCTCATGATGGGTTTTCCCCAAGCATAGTTCTTCCCTTCAAACTCACGAAATTTCATCTTTCATTATTGTAGTATTCGATCGCATCTCTTGTTTTTATTTTTCTTCTAATCTTTGATATAAAGTATTTATGGACTGATTTATACACATAAGCTTTGGAATATATATATATATATATATATATATATATATATATATATATTATTTTTTTCTTTTATCTTTTTTTTATTAATCTATAGTAAATATAAGATAATATATGTTTAAATATTCTCAATCATTTAATAATAAACACTCGTATATTCATATATATCAATGCATATGAAATGTTCGAAGTCACAATCTCAAGAGATAATAATAATTCTATATCTAAAATTATTTGGTTCGAACTTGTCTACCAAGTTTTAAAAGTAAAGAATTAAAGAATGAGACTTTATATGGGATAAGAGAAGGGACAAACCAGACTAAGGAAGGTTAAGTCTGTTAGAGAAACTAAGGGTTGTGCATAAAAGAAAAAGGTGGGGAGATTCCTTTGAGATGATGGTTGGGGGGCTGATTTGATTTGAGATAAGTATAATGAAAGACGAGAGATTCCATTTGGATCAATGAATACCAGTGATGTTTGGGGACACGAATATTCAACTAATTTCCACTGATATATTATGTGAAATTGAAAAAAGTTTATTCCCACTGCCATCATCGCACCAAAGAATTCAACCCATATATTCCCCGGTGAATGTAGACTCCAGCTTCCACCATCCTCTTGGATTTGACATAACAAAATCAATCAAACTGTGTAGCTCATAATTAACTTGTTAAACCCTAATTGCCATAAAGTGATATAAAGCCTAGGGTTATAGATGGTTTACAATCATGCTGAAGTAGGTTGGTAACCGTGTCCAAAGCTTAAGATGCAGCAAGTAGTTGCTTTAAAGATTACAACATCCAGCAAAATGTCAATGGAAACAAGGTTTAACTTGTCTTTTCCTTCTTTTTATTGTGAGGAAAAAAACTGAAACTTCAAAAAATATATATATATATATATATTGCAGATACCGAGGTTGAATCGACCTCTTAAGGTAATCTAATATATATGAGCCGGTCATGATCGATGGAAAAATATCCGTTGATCGAATTTTAAATTGTTGAGAATTGATCATGATGGATGAAAGATGAAGATGATATGGAGTTTATAAGGATTCCATCTCTCTTTTTTTTTAAATCTTGATTTATGGTAATTTTTAATACCCGTGTCACACGTAAGATCATTATAATTATTTATAAATAAACAGATTAAATATATTTTATTGTTAGATTTTAGATTTCGTTCTAATATATTATGTTAGTTTATAAAAGATCTTGTGTATATGTTATAGTTGATCATAAACATGTATTCAAAGGATGAAGAATCTTGATGTATAAAAAGATTTATCTAAAGACCTTAGTTGATCGGAAGTTGTCAATTTCGATAGATTTCATGTGACGAAAGTTTGAAGACATCTCAAGATCATCTTTAGTGTTATAACAAAACTATATCTAAGGAAACAAGATTTAAAGATGGTAAGGAAGGGAAGAGTTTGAATGAAGATGATATCGGTAGTAGATAAAGCATAAAGGAAAGATTATTCGTCCATGAGAATTTTTAGAAAAAGAAAAAGAAGTGGGGTTTGGGATTTCGTGCTTAGTGTTTTAAATGGATGAAACGAAGGCCGAAGCATGTAAGGCCAACAACCCTAGCAAGCTAATGGAAAAGAAAAAGAAAGGCATCAACATGGAAAGTGAAATGTGTTGGGAGATCCCGAGGAAGAAAGCACCTACTGGCCTTGCTTTCCCTTTTCCCTCCCCTCTAAACATTAAAAAGAAGATCGCCAAATATCATCTGATGCAAAACAAACCCTTTCAAAGGCACATGCGTGGATCCACCACTGCCCGGTACGGTAATTAATTATGAAATGAACATCAAACTGAAAGATTTGGATGGATGAGGATAACTGATAACTTCCAACTTCTGGTTTGCTATATTTAATCTGTTAAGCTTCCGCATAAATCCCACAAAACTAAATCAAACCCATTTTAGCAGGTAGATTAAGCATGTAGAATCCACTTCTTTGATTGATATTTATATAACCAAATGAGACATAAATATAATCCATTTTAAGAGGGGTAAATTTTTTAAATTTTAAGGGTGAAAATAAATTATCAATAAAAAATACAAAATAATATTTAAATCATATAATATTTTGAAATTTTGATAAAACAATCTTCCATCCGTCGCCCTCCGATTTCAATCCATCCTTGAGTTTAATTTAAAATCCTTTTGAAGAATAATATTATATAACCAAACGAGTATAAGTGTAATGCAAAAGATATGTAAAAACTTAATGAAAAGTGATCAAAGTAAAAGAAAATATATGTTAATAGTAAATACGATTTTATCAAAATAACAATTGAATGACCAAAACAAAAATATATGAGATACTAAATAAATAATTTATCTTAAATAAATTTATTCAAGAATTAAACACAAGAATCATAGATTCTTTTATAAGTATTTTATCATTGCATCTCTAATCTTTTAATTATTTATCTTTTTTTTAGAGCAAAATCGCAACTGATAATTTGAGAAAATAAAATTGAAGATAAAATAGGCACAAAATTTACGTGGAAAACCCCTAAAATATTTAGGGTAAAAATCACGGGCAACGGTAGAAGAATTTCACTATGAGAAAATATGAATTACAACCTCTCTCGATCTTCCAAGGAGAAAACAATGATAATTCTCTCTAGATAAAAATGAGAAAACAACTCTCAAGAAACTCTCTAAAATCTCTCTAGTATTGGAAGAAAGCTAGAATGCTTTGGGATGATTTTGAAGCTAAATGAGCTAGGGTATTTATAGTTAAAAACTAAGGACTAATTTGTAAATACCCTAAAGTTTAATGACTAAATTTTGATTTAGCCATTGTCCAAAAAATCAACAAAACAACTCATTTTTTTCGGTGCATTTAATATGCACCTTTCGGTGCTTAGTCAACAATCTCCCACTTGAAGATTTGATTGTAACAATCATATCTTCACACCATTCTTTCTACCTTGTACCATCATGTTGCTTACGTCTCTGACAGGCCACAAGAGGATCGACACCAAGTAAATTTATCGATATTGATCGCCTTCGTCATGAAATCTGCTATGTTGTCTTTGGTATGAATCTTCTGCATATCTATCGTCCCTTCTTCCACCTTTTCACGAATGAAATGGTATTGAACTCGTATGTGCTTTGTCCTTGAATGAAATGCTGGATTCCTTGCTAGATGCAAGGCGCTTTGACTGTCACAAAACAGAGAAACATACTCTTGATTGTGCCCAAGCTCCTCCAATAGCATCTTCAACCAAATTGCTTCTTTACTGGCTTGTGTAGCTGCTACATATTCTGCCTCTCTTGTGGACGTAGCCACGACTGAATGTAATTTTGAAACCCAACTTATAGCTCCACCAGCAATTTTAAACACATATTCTGTAGTATATTTGCTTTTATCCAAATCCCCTGCATAGTCAGAATCTACATAACCATTGATTAGTAAGTTTGATCCTCCGTAATATAATGCAACATTTGAGGTCCCTTTGATGTATCTCAGGATCCTCTTCACTGTATTCCAATGCTCTTTGCCTGGATTCGCCATGTACCGACTAACCACTCCCACTGCTTGTGCAATGTCTGGTCTTGTGCATATCATAGCGAACATTAAACTTCCCACTGCTGATGCATATGGTACTCGAGACATCTCCATCCTCTCTTCTTCACTGCTAGGACTCATACTGGAGGATAATTTGAAGTTAATAGGAAGAGGGG